GTGAATGTAGTTGGGGGCATGTTTATGCTTTACAATCCCTATCAGAAGTTCTATAAAACGGATGCATCCTATTGTTTAAGACGACGAAAAGTTGGCGGAACAGCTCTTAGAATTGTATGGTATACGTAAATCTTATGCTTGGCCATAAAAAGTATTTCTTTTATTGTGTGTGTTAACTGCAATCGTGATTTTTTGATTGGGGTTGGACTGCAAAACCCTTCTCCTTGCTGTGAAAACAATCGTAAGTCGTAAGGATACTACGAGTGTCAGCTAAAATTTAAGCACAAAAGTTCGCCGAAATTCGGATGGACTTTAAGAAGCACAGCAACGTAGAAAAAGTTATATTATATTTTTGCGAACGCGCCAAACTCTGAGGTTTTTCACATGCAAAAATCGACAGGAGGCGTGCGGCGTGGGGCAAGGCAACAGCTGGAGTCAACTATGGGAAAAGAAAGGACAAGGAGGAAAAGTCAAGGAGGAGCCGGGGCCAAAGTGGAAAATCTCAAATCAAAATGCCATTAAAGCGTGTACCGCTCGACTATAACGGTAAAGTGGAAGTAAATATTGTCATTACTCAAGCTTAAAATTAAAATTACCCACCTGAATGGATAGAGTAGGTGGGGATAATGGGGCGCGTTGCAAAAATGATAAACTGCATGAGGCAAACTGGCAGGGCAACAACAAACGAACGAACCAGAATTTCAAATGCAAAACTTTATTTTTTCGCCCGTGTGTACGCCGTGTACGAGCAGGCCCCGCCCCCAATTTTCGCAGCCGCCTCTTTTCCATAAATGCCGCAGCGGCAGCAAAGAGCAAAGTAATTTTCATAACGACAACAACAAAGTCGCCGAACTTGCCAAAAGGTGCGCACAGCAAAATCTCCTGATGAGCTGCAACCCAGTCCAGAAGAAAATCATATTATATATAAACCCAACCCTGCCCCCCAAAAAAAGTGAGCCCCACTCCCACTTCTTTCGGAATGTGCCACGTTAAGCACATCTGTTTTTTATTGCTTTTAATTTGCCATTAATAAACCATTCCAAGGCGACCGTCGGTCGTCCAAAAATGCTAATTTATATATAGATAGATGTACTCTCTCGCCGCTCGTATATATGTACATATATATAGTAATAAGTAAAATATATCTCTGTGCATTCCGGGGAATCCAATTTGAATTTTAGCCCAATGCTGCCAATTTATTTTGGTGGGGGCATTATAGCCGCGCTAATGCCTCATAAGTCAATGAGTTTTTGGCATTTTTATGGCTTATAAACAGACACCGAAGTGGCAAAGTGGCGGGCAATGGGGTCAGGTGGTGTCCCACAGCTGTTGGCGGAAAACTCTACTCAAGTTGAGGAAAACTTTCCCAGACGCAGTAATTTCCGACTCGGCTCGCCAGTAAGCAGTGCAAAAAGTAAAGCAGTGCAGTATCTCAAGTATCTCCGCATTCATATTGATAATATAATATATTGGTTCACAAGCTGCAGCAGTAAATTGCCAGTAAATTGTAGAATGCCTCGGCTACAAAATTATACATATTACGCAGGTTTTGTAATGGAGGGAGAATCTTAACTAACTGCCCCCTTTGTTGGGGACAAAAACAGCCGGAGCTGGGCGACATCAAAGATTCTGTCAAGCGGCATTAACAAGGGAACCTTTAGTTCTCGAGGCTGTCCAACGGCCCACGGGCATTGGCAAAAAAGCAGGGCGAAATTAGCCAAAAGTAATCCTTTAAGTTGGCTGCCCAAAAATTGCACACAATTGTTAGAGTCTCGGTGTCCTTCCTCCGTTGCCAGCCACATCCAAAGCTGCCCCAGAAATCCCAGCCCACATCCAACATTGTCAGCCACCGTTGATGACATTGTGTAAAATTTTGTTGCTGCTGTCGTCGCTTCGTGTTGCCGTTGTCGTTGTCGTTGATGTTGCTTCTGCTGCACTTTAAGACTGGTTCCCGAAACTTTGGGATATTAAAAAACCCAAAAAACCCCAGGGTTTTCCAAATTTGCGCCAGCCAACTACTTATAGCTGGCCATTTTTTATAGTATTTTAATCGGCCTTCTGAAATCCTAAACTTACTAAGCCAGCCAGGTTGATAGTGATAACCAAATTATGATTTGACTACCAGCATATAGCCTTTTCTGCGTTTGGTGCTGCAGAATTATTTTCTCAATGTGTAATTTTCGCGGATGCTTCCGCTGGCTGGCTATAAAACTTTTATAGTAAAACGTAAATGCCACAAATGAGCAATCGAAAATTTCGCATTATAATGCAAACTGTGTGCATTTTTCGGGGTTATTGTAGTCGGCTTTCGGGCGAAAAGACAAACGCATACCGCGCCGGCAAGGAACATGGAACAAGGAGCAAAATACAAGGACCAAAAATCCAAAAGCCAAGAGGCAGTCGTCATGGTCGCCTCGCTGAATGCCCCTCTCGCTCTCTCATGCTCTCTGCCTTTCTCTTTCTCTTTCGCTCTCGCTCGCCTCTATTAATAATAATAGAATTTTCGGAAAATTTCGCAGCACTGGAAGGAGGAAAAAGGAAAAGGAAGCGCTGCCTTTCGGCTCGCGATTTTTGCATTTGACAACGAAAACGAAATGAACGAGTTGGGTATTCTCACCATTCCATCGCTAAAAATGAAAATGAGTGCCCAAACGCCCCATTTCCCCCCGGACTGCATTGCATAATTCAGCGGAGTCTGCTGCTCCGTCCGTCCGTCCGTTTGTCCGTCCGTTTGTCCGTCCGTCCGTCCGTTCATTTGTCCGTCCTGCCTGACAATAATGCTAATAATGATAATGATTATAATGCATGAACAAAATATTCCCGGAGATGCCATCCTTTGTCTATCGAACCATGGACTCCACCACGGAGCTCCATTTCCCCGCTGTTTTTGGCATCTAATGAACTTCTTTATGGCTGCATCATTCGCATAGCTAATGCGGAGTGTCTATGGCGCTCTATTTTGCCCAGGAGAAATTTAAGAAACTAGTTTCGAAAATGCCAGAGAAACTCGAAGAAATGCAATACTTCCTATATAAGTACGAGTATAAGTATAGTATCTTTAAATATATATTCATTGACGTAACGTACAAATTATAATACAGCCACCATAATAGTCCAATTCCCGCTATAGATTATCGATAACGTGGTGGTGCTGAGACAGCAAACACCTTCGCTACGCCCATTAAGTTTTACTGCTTTTGGGTTTTCAATTTTCCCGAGTTCGCGGAAAAGCCACGTGGACCAGAATGCCATTTAACGCTGCATAGGAAATCAAACGCGCGAAAGGTCAAAGACAAAAAAGGGCGGATGGTATGGGGTTATGGGTTTATGGATGGGTTGGTTGGCAGTGCTAGGTGGGATGGTTGGATGGCTGGATGGTTGGATGGCTGGGTTAGGTTATCACCTTGTGATATATGCCAAAAATGAAGCTTCTCCCTGTGTGTCTGCAGCATCTTCGTGTGCCATCGCAGCCGCCCTCTTGAAAATCCGGGGAATCCGGTGAACCACCGAAAATGGACTGGACCAGTTAACCCTTCCATCGAACTGGCTGAGGAGGAGGCGGTGGGCCAAAAAACCAGCCGTGTTGATTTAGGGTTGCAAACAGAAATTATGATAATGCCTGTGAAAACAACGGGCACGCGGAGATAGAAACGAGGAGTCGCCGGAAGCAAAGGAAAATATATTAAATGTTATTGAGAGGAACTAATTTTCATTAAAAGGATTAAAAAGCATTTGGCGAAAGGAGTAAGGAGTGCAAGGAGACCAAAGGGTGGAGATGGTCGGCTGTTTCGGGTACTGGCAACCGCGACGTTCTTGCTGGCACCGAATTAACATAAAAATCATAAAAATATGACACTGTGAGATGGCAGCACACCACCAGGACCATCAGCATTATCATATTTAACAGAGGCGCAGGGAAAGGGGTGATCGAAACCAGTTTCTTTGTATTATTCTTAAATAAAATTAAAAAAAATAAATATATATTTCAAGTACTATAAAAAAACTGTTTTTAAAATATAATATACCTGAATAACATACCATGGCTTCAGGTATATCTGCTCTATGGAACCCCTTTTCTTCAAAAATATCTATATATATTTCAAGCAAAAAACCCGTTTTTAAAATATAATATACCTAAAATATATCCCCAAATACAGTGTTATACTTATATTAATAACATACCATATATCTGCTCTGTGGAACCCCTTTTCTTCTTCCTCGAGCCCCTGGCTTTGATCATTATGATGACGACGAACGCATGATGCTCATTAGAGAGAGGGGGGTCTCCAGAAACGGGGCAACGCCTTGAGTTTGGGGCAAAGTCAGTGGCGGAGTCTGGCAGGGGGTTTCCATTGATGGCAATGCGCGACAATCAACACGAGGGTGGACTGGGTGGACTTCCAGTGGTTCGAGCACAGAGTTACTTGGATTTCGGTTCGGCTTGGCTGGGCTGGAGGATTAGCAATGGCCAGGACTGTGTGGGCTAAAGGTGGGCAGAGGAGCAGCACCATTTTGATGATACCAAATGCTGATGACGATACCGTGCCCCACGAAACAACATCCGCCAACCCATCAACACGCCAACTCGCCTCTCAGCCCAATCCCGATCCCAATCCCAATACCATTTCCTCTTGGAGTGGGACGCTGTTTGCTTTTTTGTGGGCGTCGCTGCTGCCACTTAGTAACTCACCCGCAGTTTATTATTTTCAAAATATTTAAATTTTTTGGTAATAAGCGAAAAATGGTTTTAATATAACCGAATGGGCGTGCCGAGGCGGACGTGCCTGACGAGGATGACGATGCTCATGATGCTGCTTATGTTTCGTAGGTAATCCACCTGGTAGAGCGCTTTGGGCACAGGATGAGTTTTGTGGACATTACGGGGATGATTGGTTTACTCTGCACGAACGGATTATCCCAGGCACAAAGTCACCTACAGAGCAATCTCTTCGAATAAGAGATGCCCTGATTAAATACTTATTATGAGAAGCTTATTTGGGGACAGAAGTACATCATCTAAGTTTATTTGAAGTTTCATTTATAACGTATTTGTGTGCAATCAGTAAATTTTTGCCTTCCGCACGAATTCAACAAATGTCAACTCTGACTGCATCGATGTAATGGATCACTCAAGTAAATTCAACTCTGCTTGACTGGGATATATGTACATGCATCATATCATATCATGTGTATGTGATATATGGGCAATTCTGGTATGACTGGCATGTGAGGCTGTTTTGCATTGATCTAGCGTCATGATCGGCGTCATTGATCCTGAGGGGACTCCACGTTCCTGCCCCAAGAGCTGTGGTGCCCTTGATTTTTTGTGTTTTGCTGCTGTTGCTGTTGGTGTCGCTGCTGCTGCTTTGGTTGCTGCTCTTGTTGCTGTTGCATGTGCATCATTTGCAAATGCTGCTGGCGATTGCGTGCATTATCCGCAGATTGTTTGTTCTTGGCGATGCGCTTATAAGTCCTGACCGTTTCCTCCCAATCGCGACCCATCACCTCACGGGATATTTCATCCGGACTGCGCATGAACTGCTTTCGCAACGATGTCGGCTCGGTTTGGCGGAAATTGGGTCGATAGGCAGTGGGATCGCGAGGATTCAACCATTTCGTATCGATATAACTCTGATCCCGCCACATATTATCCTCCCGATTGATGCGTCGCTCGAAGGCACTCGTATTTACGCCACGCGAATAGGAGGCGGCATCATTCAGCACCGTCGATGTGGCACTGGACCGCGGAACGCCGGCCCTGGGCGAGTCGGACTCGCTCTTGCCATCGCCACCTCGTCCCCAGGAATCGGAGGCCATAGTCCTTCGCAGATCAGTCCATCCGCCGCCCAAAAGGACGCACACGCGGGGTCGCACAATGTGGCACAGAGGATAAGACGAACGCTGCATGTTTCTATAAACGACACACAGAAAACGAAGTTATTAGTATTATTATTTTTTTTTTTTTAAATCTACGCTTTAAATGTCGAGAAATAAATAGCACTTTGCCCGCATGGAAACATACGAAAGATTTCCAATATCAGAAAACGTACCGCAAGGATATACACAAATGATTCGGTTTACAAAATCTTATGTCACCACCATATGTTTGTTAAATTTGGAATTTTAGTTGAGATTTTTTACAATAAGATTTAGAGTCTGGTCTTGCCGGTTGAAATTTCTAAGGTTGAATGAGAAAACACCAGATTCACAACCAAAAGGCTTGAAAGGCAAAGTAACATTAAAGTCAAGGCTAGCTTAATTGAACAGATGTAGCGTGATTACTAGATTGTAAAAGCATTTCCTTTTATATTTTCAGATAAACTTAAGAGCAATACAGCAACTGCGGTGAGTCAAAAAATGTGTACTTTATGCCAAAGAAATTCTTTAAGCGTGGTGATGGTAAAAACGCGGACATATTCTCAAATTCCCTTTATTTTTCACAACAAAGCAATGGGATTATGCATATGCCTTTCCCCATGTATGTGAGTATAATTATAGGGGACCAAGTCTTGAAGCAATTGCAATTCTGTGGCAGTACATCCGCCTGGGAAAATCCACTACTGACGACCATTAACTGCCCGAGTTGGTACTTTCGAGCCACCCTTTTTCGACTTAAACGTTGACACTTGAACTCTTTTTGATTTCGCATATGTGCGTGGTCCCTGAACAATGGCACAATTATGTTAAATATCGACAAGTGGCCATCCAGCTGCTGCTTTTGTTGTGTGGAAATATTAAACACTCGTGTGCGGCCACCGACAATCGAAATTCTTGGAGCCAAACGAAATTCAAATTAAAAATGGTAAAATGTTCAGAAAAGAGGTTAAGCACCTTGCAAGAGTGCAAAAGTTGCGGTTAGAGCAAAAAAATGGTTTCATTTATTGCTTTGTTTCGAAGGAAACGAATCTAAATCCAGCTTTTCTTGAACATACAAGATTTAAAAAGTATTTTCTTCCTTTAAAATCTACAGAACTTTACCGCATTCAGCTGATTTTGTATACATACGACCAAAGACACTAGAATAATGAGATGCGTAACGCCATACGATTTTTTTGCACACGATGAAAAAAAGGACAGATTTTGATTCATACGTTGCCATTGTGCCAATGCGTTTCAAATACGTTTCGGGCATTTTATAGACTTTATTTAAGACAATTTTTACTACTTTGTGCAAGTAACACATACACTACATACATACATACATACATACATACATACATACATACATACATACATACATACATACACACGTACATACATACATACATACATACATACATACATACATACATATATACATACATACATACATACATACATACATACATACATACATACATACATACATACATACATACATACATACATACATACATACATACATACATACATACATACATACATACATACATACATACATACATACATACATACAAACAAACATACATACATGCATACTTACATACATACAGCGGTACATGCATGCATAAATACATACATACACCGGTAGATACACTACACACACACTAGACTCACTGCTGCGACTCTAAATTAGAAGACATACCTTACAGTCCTCACTAGAACCAGTTGGGAATTATAGGGCTACAAGACAATATTTTTCCTAAGCAAATATCAAAAGCGGCAATAACTATGTGTTCCGACAGTAAGTTAAACATTCTTCAGACTTTAATTAAGGCAATTTTTACTACTTTGTGCAAGTAACACATACACTACATACATACATACATACATACTACATACATACATACATACATACATACATACTACATACATACATACATACATACATACACCGGTACATACACTACACATATGTACACTACATTCACTGCTCGACCGGTAAGATTGATTACTGGAAATGTTTTGTGACTCTAAATTAGAAGACATGCCTTACAGTCTTCACTAGAAAAGCAGCAAATTATATCGAAAAGCAATAGGTAGAAAACTATCTTAGTTGGGGAACATGGAAATATTTTATGTTTAACATTTATTATTTCAAGTCGACTCGAAGGTCATATAAATTTACGACCCCATTACAATTGTAATGTCCTCCCCGTGGTGTTCCCTGGGTACCAAAAAATACATATCTTACAGATAATTTATAATAAAAATATTTATATGTAAACGGTAGCTAATTCGAGCGGCGATTTTACTAGAGAATATTAAAACAACTTCTTAAAAAAAAAAAATAATAGTAACGGCATCAATTTTAAGTAATATTTAGCTCATATTACAACGAAATTGACCAAAACATTAATCAAATTCGTTTCTTAGATCAAAATTGACTTCGGACCGAAAATCGTCTTCTAGCACAACTTTTTTGTTTACTGTTTTCACTCGCACAAGCAAGTGAATTCTATTTTTAGATTTTTATGCTCTCAATTTTATGAAGAGAGCAATTACTGCCGCCACCAAAAAAGTGCAAGCTAGTGCAAAACCAATGTATGGCCGATACGCATCTTTCTCTTCTGTTTCTGTTTCTCTTTCTGATACTTCCATTGATCTCCAACGTGGACTTCCAAAAGAGCGCATTTTCCTGTTGGATATAACTTAATTATGCAATCTAAATGCATTGAATCACCTCAACCAAATGACAATAATCATAATGACAGTGGGTGGCTGGGGCGTGGATGGTGAAAATTGTTATCCACACAAAAATGTTAACTCATTTGTTGTCCCTTTTCAGTTGGCTCGCTGACAACCAAGCAAAACCACACAGAAAGATGGGCAGGTGAAAATGGTCGGGGGCTTTAGCTCGCAATTTTCCCATCATCGTTTCTTGGCGAAAAGAAGAGAGAACGACAAATCTTCGCAATTTATTTACGTGCCATTTCGTAGCGAACATTTTCGTTAGATTTTCCTCATTCGCCTGGCGGAATTCCAAGACAACTTCAGTCAGAAGGTCCAGGTTAACCCATACCCATTCCCAAATTTTGTAGGGCGCTCCTCTCGGGGATTTGCCCGCCACTACCATCTTCTTTGGTTTTTTGGCGACGACAAAAGTCATGACGCGCTGATGACGTTGCCAGTGGAAGGATTTAATGGCACATTAAGAATTTTATTACCGCCCTGCAACAACAACGTGATAAGGTGCTTGGGCGGGGCTAAGAAAGGGGTACGTAAGGTGCCGTAGAAGGGGTGCGAAGGCTGCTGGAGAAGGGGTACGAAAGGTGCTGGAGAAGTGGGGCTATAGAAAACCCCTTCGCCTACCTTGGCAGAAAAATTTTTCGCGCGCGTACACACAAAATTTTTGACAGGCATTTGCCATGAAAATCTTTTGGTGTCAACAGAAAATTTTCATCTCATTTTGGTTCATTTTCATTGGGTTTTTTTGTTATTGTTGTTGCTGTTGTTATTGTTGTATCTGTCTTTTTCACTACTTTATTTTTTGCGTTGATTTTCGGTACGCGTCAGCGAAAAGGGGGGTTTTCTTTTTAGGGAGTTCACAGGAGCTTCGCGGAGCTTCATCTTCACTTCCTTAGACGGGAATTTTCGACGTCTCGTTGGCTAAGACGATTGTCATTATTACAAGTTTTGCATAAATGAATGAATGACATTTATGTATTTCATTTAGCCAAAGCCAAGGACTCGACTTAAGGAGCTGAATGGTGGCTACAATGAATGGATAAGCGAGACTTGATGGGAGGGTAGGTGGTAACCCAGCGAAGTCAGAGATGCTCAAGAACTTGCGTTTTTTGCGTTATCTGTTGATATATGTATTTCGAAAATAAACAAAAATCAGCGACCAATTCTATTGGAACGCTGCAAAATAAATATTCAGTTGGTTAATATATTTTCACTAGCAGATCAATCTGAAAAGTTATGAAAAGGTATTACCATTGTGGCATCACTGGTTGATAAAGAGGTAGTAGGGTCGTGAAAAGAGGCAAGTAAGGTGGTAATAAGATGTTGGAGGCCATTTGGTTGCCTGAAATGATGCGCGAGTTTTTCAAATCTTTATGTCCTTTGTTTGATCAACTTTTGGCAGAGAGCTCCTTCAAGATTTTTGGACAAATGAGTGGATGGGGTGCATTTAGGATGAGGTCAGGTGAATTCGTTGTGCCATTTACCCATTATGTGTCAGCGAAAATTTCAATCCAACCACAATTTCATCATGACATTTGTGCATAATTGAATTAATTCCCAAATGGAACTCAGACCTTTTCGGTGGCTTGGCAATGGAGTGGCTGGAGGGCTCTTAAAGGATTTTGGGTAAGCATAAAGATTCTTAATTGCTGATGCTTACAATTCGAGGTAGAAGAACGGATTTACCTACAATTATATTTTTGATGAAAAGAAATCTAATTTTTTACATTTAGACAAAATCTGAACCAAACACAACTTTGGAACCACTGGACGTCAGCCCAACCAATTAAAAAAGTGTGTGACCTAAAAGAGCAGCTGCTAGATATGCGAAATAATCCCCAAACCAGCCAATTAACGTCGATCCGTAGAACATCTGGAATGGAATACAAGTTCTTTTTTCCCGCCCTGTTATTTATATGCAATTTAGGCATATTCCTCTGCCTTTTTTCTTCAATTTTTGTTTGTGCAACCCTTTTGCGCACCGACCTCATCCTTCCCGCTTAATTTGAATGCATTTAAAAATGTTAAAATATGAGAATTACCAAGGCAAACGGAACGAAACAAAAAAAGCTGAATTTATCTACAGAGACACGCACTTTGAACGTTAACTTAAGTGAGGGAGATGGCCATTTCGTTCGGGCAGGCCTCGGTACACAAAAGATTTGTACGTGTTCCCACTTGATGAGGCCAACCCCCCGGAACCCGTCTTTATCAAGCCCACACCCATGACAAATACTACGCGAAAAAATTCCTTAAAAACCAGCGAACGGAGCGTAGGAAAAAGAGTTAGGCGAGGATAAGGGCTGTGGCAAGGAAACGGAAAGGGGTGTACACTGCAAAAATATCTTCCGAATTGGCATTTAATTGGATAATAGTATACACCAAGTAGGAGAGTTATACTGAACTATTTTGGGAATATATCTATACATTATATTAGACATATTTATACAGCATTTTCTGAGATATTGAGATATTGAAATATTTTTTTCCCGTGCACGCATAGGCATTATTATCAAAAAAAAAAGTGGAGTACACAGAAAGGGGGCGGCGCATTACAAGGTCCTTCACTGCCCCATCCCATTTGCCAGTGGCTCACGTTACGCCGAAAAAGAG